CTGCAAGGAAGCAGGGTTAGTCTCAGGAAGTTCCCAGGCACCTGCCCCACGCTGCAGTTGTCCCCTGCAAGGCCCACTCCCCACCTACTCAGGAACCTGGAGGCAGGTAGAGGAGGCAGACCAGAGAGAGGAAATCCGAGAGCCTGGCACGCGAGAGAGCAGAGCAGAGGTTCCCAGAGACCAGAGTGCGGTACAGTCTGAGCCCTGCTCCCAGCCGTGAAAGTACAACACAATCCCGCATCCCACACAGCCACCCACCGCCAGGCTGGGCCCCAGCCATCCGCCTGGCCCCACAGGTGCTTGTGAATACTCCTCTAGCGCCACTTTTACTTCCACATCCTGTTCTGGCTTGGAGATGCTTGTCGCCCTGCCTCGGGGTGGTGTTGGTGACACACAACACCCAGTGGCTTGTCTGCAGAGAGCAGACACATAGCTGCCCTGCCTGCATCTGCAGAGCCCGACATGCATGAGCGCACATCTTCCTGGAGGTACCGTGCCACATATGTACATGCACACAAGCACACACACACATATATGCACACAACCCTTTAGAACAACTCCACAAAGATGGCCAAGGCTCCTGGCTTTCAAAATGTGAGCATGTGGTTTCTAGAAGCTTCTCCACAGCTCTCTTTGAAGCATGATCACTTTTCTACTTCGATAATGGTTTAAGATACTGTATACAGCACAGGTAAATGTGCTCATCCAGATGAAGATACTGGCCACTTGGCACACCTCTAAGTTCTAGGACAAACAAGTCCTTGTCTGTGATTGTCTCTGTGGGCAATCTAGACTTGGGCATCCATCCTGAGCTGCTGCTGGATCATCAACACATGAGTCTAAAGCAGCAAACAGGCAGGCCGAGGAGCTCGTCCCTAACCCCAATGTGCACATCACGTGTCTCTGGCTCCACACCCGTGGATGTGGGGACCTGAGGTCTCTCACCGCCCTTCCTTCCCAGGCTTCAGAGGCACTGAGTCAGATGAGCTTGGGGTGGGCCACAAGTATCCTTGGCTCAGGGTCTTGGAGTGGCATTCGCTCCATGAGCACACACTAGAAACCCCCTATCACTATAATTAAGATGAGGCCCTGTCCTGTTCTAGATGATCAGATGACAACAGTGAAGTTACATGCACCCCACTGAGAGCTGGCAGCAGTGAAGGAAGACAGGAGCTTCTCCCAGCAGGGTGTGTCAGACAGCAGGGGCAGCAGCTCAGAGGCCGCCTGCACACCAGAGCGAGCTGTGGCGCTCAGCAGGACAGAAGGTGGAAGGCAAGGGCAGATGGCACATGCTGTGAACACTGTTTGTGCTGGGGGGGGGGGGGGGCGGGGGTGTCCCCAGGCCAACGTCTGCCACTGTGAGCAACACCTACAGGCCCACCAAAGCCCACCAAAGCCACCAGCCAGGCTGTGTGACTCCCACAGTGGCCCTAGTCCACAGCCTATTGGGAGGCAGTGGATGCAGAAAATGGCCAGGGAGCTGACTCGCCGGCCCTCCGCATCTGCAGAGGCTGACACGCCGAGCGTCTACCTTCCTGAGGAGCCATGCCAGGACCCAGCAGGCTGCGCCTGCTCTGCTCTGAGGGACAGGGAGGAAGAGGAGAACAACAGAGTCTCGTCAGACTACTCAGGATGTCACACAACTGAAAACGTGTGTCTTTCTGGAATTTTCTACCTATGAACTTTAGATCATGGTAGAACTCGGAAAAGTAAAACTGAAGAAAACAAAACCAAAGCCAAAAGTAAAGATGACAACCATAACGGAAGGAAGTTGGAAAGCCCTTAATTGCCTGGGGAACTGAAGAGCAGCTGACCCCTTGGTCAGACAGGGCGTCTCCAGGTACTTGGGAGGCAAGCCGAAAGACGATCAGACAAAGCTAGCATCTTGCATTTTCTCTCTTTTCTTTTTGATGGTGGTGTGGGATTTGAATTCGTGGCTTCGTGTCTAAGTCAGCCACGAGCCCTTTAATACTTTAGTTATTTTTGAATAGTTACCTCACGTTTTGCCCAGGGATAGCTTGGACTGCAACCCTTCTTTACAATTTCAGTATAGCTGACAGGCATACACGGACACATCAGCTTTTGATAGGCTTGCCGACTTTTGCCCTGCTAGCCTTGGGGTGTTGAGCTTCCCCATCTCAGCTTCCTAAACAGCTAGGATTACAGTTGGGAACTACTGCCTCCGGTGTGAAGCTCTGTCCTAAAAACAAAGTGGGGGCTGGGAAGGTGGCTCAGTGATAGAGTGCTTGCTTTCCATGCATGAGGCCCTGGGTTCGATTCCTCAGCACCACATAAGCAGAAAAAGCTGGAAGTGGTACTATGGCTCAAGTGGTAGAGTTCTAGCCTTGAGCAAAAGCAGCTCAAGGACAGTGCCCAGACCCTGAGTTCAAGCCCCAGGACTGGGGAGAAAAAAAAAAGTGGTCCGAAGTCAAAGACTCAACTCCAACTAAACACCAAAAGCTGGAAGTGGAGCCATGGCTCAAGTGGTAGTGTTAGCCTTGAGCAAAAAAGCCTAGGGACAGTGCCCAGGGTCTGAATTCAAACCCCAGGACTGGCATATACATGTCTGTGAGTACGTACGTACACACGCACACACGCACAGACACACACAGACACACACCCCAAAATAGCTGGTTGCCACTGGCTCATATCTGTAATCCAAGCTTCTTAGAAGGAGGGTGGTTCAAAACTAGCTAGGTAGAAAAGCCTGTGAGACTGTTACCTTCAATTAGCCACCCAAAAAGGCTGGAAGTGTAGCTATAGTTCAAGTGGTAGAGTGACAGCCTTAAGCAAAAAAGCCAAGCAAGAGTACACGACCTTGAGTTCAAGTCATATGTATGCATGTGCTGGCACGCATGCAGATGCGTGTGCAAACGCACACACACACACGTGCGCACGCACACGCACACGCACACACACACACACACACACACACACACCTTAGTACCACCAAATCACGACTATTACCACTCTAGGAAAAAAGCATAAGGAAGGAGATAACCGAAGTAAAATCAGAAACAACTAAATTGAAAATAGAGAAAAAAAAATGTTGAGAAGATCAGCAAATTTCATTAAACTGTTATCCAAGGACAAAAAGGACAGTTTTATCAGAAAGAAAAGATAGGACTACAGACCTCAGAGTAGGAAAGTAGACCAAGGAGCCCTGTAAGAACTATGAACAATGGAGACACAATGTAACAAGCACTGAAAGCAGCCAACCACCAAAACTCACCAAGCTGAAACCAGTAAGGAGAATAGTCCTACTTAGTAAGTCTCATTAGGGCTAGGAAGGTAGCTTAGTGGTAGAGCACTAGCCTTGAGCTGAAGAGTTGAGGGACAGTGCTTAGGCCCAGAGTTGAAGCCCCACAACCGACAAAAAGAAAAAGAAAAAAAGAAAGAAAGAAAGAAGAAATCAGTATGGAGGTTCGTCAAAGTTATAACCACAGAACCATCATATGATCTTGCTATTCCACCCAAGACATACATGCACAGGAATGCCACAGTCAACATACAATGGAGACACCGGCACACCTGTGTGCACTGCAGCACTATTCACAATAGCTGAGCTATGGAATCAGCCTAGATGCTGGTGACAGATGAATGGATAAAGAAAATATGACATATGTGCATATATACAGTGAAGTATTATTCAGTCATGAAGAATGAAGCCAAGCCAGGCACCTGTGGCTCATACCTATAAACTACTCAGAAAAAGCTGAAAGTGGCACTGTGGCTCAAGTGGTAGAGTATTAGCTTCGAGCAAAAGTTCAGGGACAACACCCAGGCCCAGGGTTCAAGCTCCAGGGCTGTAAAAAAAAAAAAAAAGAATGAAGCCATTCTCACATTTGAACTAGCTACTTAGGAGGCTGAGATCTGAGAATCTTGATTTGAAGCCAGCCGAGGCAGGAAAGGCCATGAGACTCTTTATCTCCAATTAACCACCAGAAAACCGGAAGTGGTGCTGTGGCTCAAAGTGGTAGAGTGCTAGCCTTGAGCACAAAATCTCAGGGACAACCCACTGAGTTCAAGCCCCATACCTGACAGGAAAACGACCTGCCCAATACCATCAGACTCTCTTTCTCCCTCCCTCTCATAACCTCAGTGGTAAAGACCTTGTATTAAAGGCATGGCCTCCAGACCTTTAGGAGAAAGGCCTCATGGGATACACATTGGCAGAGGGCTGTAGGGCTCATCCCTTGCTCTTACATCACACCTGCCTTTTTATTTCCTGGACACAGGTGGCCCGCCTGTTCCACACACTCTCCAACCATGACGTGCTGCCTAACCTCAAAACAAGAAATGGGGCACCAGACCACAGCTGAAGCTTCAACATTATGAGCCAAAACAAATTTTTCTTTATAGGTTGGTTATCTCCGAGGTCTGCTATAATGAATGTCAGAAAGCTGATACAGAGAACTGTTACCAAGAGTGGGGCCACTGACGAGGCCGTCCTGACAGAGTGCAGAACCTTTGACTGAGCTTTTGGAAGGAATCTGGAAACTCTGGAAGAGCAGGCTAGAGAAACACTAGGATGTGGAGAGTGCAGTCATTCATGATAAAGACATTCTGCAAAGCTGGGTGCCGGTGCTCACACTTGTAATCCTAGCTACTCTGAAGTCTGAGATCTGAGGATTGCAGTTCAAAGGCAGCCCTGGTAGGAAAGTCCATGAGATTCTTATCTCCAATTAACTACCAGAAAACTGGAAGTGGCACTATGGCTCAAGTGGTAGAGTACGTGCCTTCAGCTGAAGAACTCAGGGACAGCACCCAGGCCCAGAGTTCAAGACCCATGACCAGAAAAAAGAAACAAAAACAAAAACCTCACTCTGCAAAGTCAGGAAGGGACAGCTTGCTCTGTCTACAGAGTTTGTGTAAAATGCCCAAAGCGACTACTTCCCCCGCCAGCTGCGGCCAGCGCAGCAGACAAGCAAGGGGAAGAAAAGGCATGAGGACAGGAAAAGGAAAAGGAAAAGAACCCTCATCTGCACACACCAGGACTG